CCACTGCCCCATGTGCTGTGAGACAGACCTCTGCAAACTGAGAACACAGCTTGTGCTCTCAGCCTGCCGGGGAAGCCTTGCACCCAACACAAGGATGTTCTGTGAGTGACTCAAGACTACTGAGCATATAGTGGAGGGGAGAAGTGAGCAGAAACTTGCACCCATCTAAGACAGGCAGATTTCTAACAAGAAAGTCAGAGACAGTTTAACTTCTAACTGAAAAGCCAAGGGGAGGTGGGGGGAACCATTGCACAATGTGGTGACCTAGCTTCTTCTCCATGGACTCAGCTACAGGTGACTTGTCAGAGCTGCCAACCCAGGGCAGGTGGCCTTGGGAACTCTCCCCAGCCATCACATCCTGGCACTCACTTGTTTACTGTGCTTCTTGTGTTGGCTCTTGCGGGTACCCAGCTTTGAATGCTGGAGCCCCACCTTGTCTCCAAACACGTGCCTCCATCCCAACAACCCGCCCCCAGGAATCTCAGAACTCAGGTCCTCTCAGCCCCCACTCAACCATGGGTGCTGGGTGGCAACCTCTCAAGCCTCTCTAAGGCCTGCGGAAGTGCCCCTCACCTGACACCTACCTATCTGGTGCTTGTCCAGAGAAAATGGAATACTTTCATATGCAATTCCTTTAAAAAGCTTACATGTAGAAATTATCATGTGATATGCTCATATGGAAAGCCTAGGTGGTTTTGTTCTCATTTTGGAGAGAAGTATGGCTTTGGACAAATCTGTACCTTTAGTTTCTATTGATCATGAAATGAATTTCCCACTTCCTGGCTCCGTGTGTGAGAGAGAGAAGTGTAGATGTAACCAACCGTCTTATTAAATAAGAAACACAGAACCAATGTAAAAGAGAAAGCCAAGAGATCAGAGATCAGAGCTAAAATCTCACCCTTCCTCCTGTGGTGGTCCTAGCTTTCCGAAAGAGAGCTATTTCCCTGTCTGTAAGTCGTTTCATAGTCATTCTGCCTTCTCATTGGTTGTAAACCCAAACACGTGACTGCCTCATCACTGTCTGTATGTACAGCTCCCCAGGTCTTAAAGGCATATGTCTCCAATGATGGCTGTATCCCTGAACACACAGAGATCTATGGGGTTAAAGGTGTGTGCCACCACCGCCACACTCTTGCTATGGCTCTAACAGCTCTGACCCCCAGGTAACTTTATTTATTAACATACAATCAAAATCACATTTCAGTACAATTGGAATACCACCACAGAGAAATGAAGGGCAATGCCATGCACACATCTGTGTGTCGTTCCTTAGGCACACACCCCTAGTTTTTTGGACAGGGTCTCTCCTTACTAAAACCGCATTTTCCAAGTGCATTGATTGGGCTGGCTAGCTGGCCAGTGGGCCTCAAAGATTCATCTGCCTTCACTTTCCCAGTAACTGGGATAACACGCACACTCCACCAAGCCTGACTTTTTTCATCTGGGCTCTAGCAAGCATTAGTCAGTGAGATAGCTCTCTAGCCTAACCTCAGATTGCGAGCTTTTGAAACGTACATCTCTAAATTCATGTCGATAGCTCAGTCTTTAGTACGATTGTCCTGCATTGATCCTGCATTGTTTATCTTTGTCACAGTATAAAGTTTGCAGCCCCGTGGAGAAGGCCTTTCAAATCAGATCATTCAATTGTCTCTCGTCACTTGGAGGGTGCGAGCCAGAAAGCCAGAATGTCAGGAAGTCAAAGGCAAAAGCAGCCCTGTGCAATCCTTGCTCAGAAAATGCTGTTCTGTAGACCTGCGAGTCGAGGACAGTTCTATCTCAGTTGGGAAAACTGCATCGCTTTTCCCTGTCACTGTTGCTGGGGACGTGTTCACCCCGTACCAGAACCCACCATCAGAGCACACAGTTGCCCTTAATGGCTAGCTGCATCTCTCAGCATGGCAGCTGCGCAGACTCTCTTACTCAGGTGCATGATTTCATGTCTGTGAGGGGATTAGAGACCCCTGGAATTCAGTCACTTCAGGACCAAGACTTTGCTGCCTACTTCCTACCTGGAAAAAAAAAAAAAGATTTAATATCAGATTTGTAAAGCTTGAGACTCTGGAACACATCAGCTTATTAAATAGCTTCAAGCATCAATATAATTAATATTAGATAAATCCATGCAAAATCAATCATTATTTCATCTCTGGAATGCCAGGTCCCTGGAACACGGCAAATCTCCAGTGTGAAGCTTAGCGTCGCCCTTCTAGAAGACTTTTAAAATGACCTCCTTAAAATAATTTTTTGTTTTTCTTCTGTGTAAAAGGAGATTTATGCTTAATGAAGCTTTTAATGAAGAAATCACAGAAGGAGAATGCCAATAAAATCTAATTTTTAAACAAGAAAATCTAATATTGAGAAGTATTGCAATACGCTGGCCTTTGTCCAGATAGAAATGAAACACACAATCCAATCACCGCTCCGCACAAAGGACAAAGTAACATTAATTTTCCTCAGGATGGTTATTAGAGAGATAAACAGTATGTTCTCCCCTTATTATGTCATGGGGATGTTTGTTCCCAAGCCTGCTTGGCAACTCTCACAAGACAGGCTTGTCCTGCCATTAGCTGGTATCTCTTGGCAAAGATGGGTCAGGAAGAATTGCTGGATTTGTTAGTGGCCTCAGAAAAGGTTCTTTGTTCTCGAGAGCCTTTGAAGTAGGCTCTCAGCCATTGCTATTCACCAGCACAAAGCTAGGCATTCTTAGCGCAAACCCCTGTAATCACATTTACCTGTTCACTCAAAGCTGGAGTTTGTTCCCGTCCTAAGAAAGAGTTGAATCAAAAGAGCCGAGGGGAGAGGAGTGCAAAAAAAAAAAGTTACAGAACATGAAAAACAGCACCAAAAATAAAGCTTGAAGGGAAGCAGATCAAAGCGGATTGAGCAAGTTCTAAGGGAGCCAGAAAATTGCAAAAATAACAGTAATAGGAGAAACAAATTGATGGCATCAAAATGAATACAAATGAGGAACAGGAAAGACAATTTTTAAATAGATCAAAGGCTGGGAGAAGCAAACAGGAAAGTATCTTCTGCTGTTTTTATCTGTAATTAATTTTGGTAATTATACCAGTTGATTTACAAAAACATCAGTATAGTTCTTAAGACAATCAACAAATAGCAAACGAACACATATTTAAAGAGGTCATTTCTTGCTGTGCGCAAACTCTCCAACATGTGACAACTGCCAATTACTTCAATTACACAAGTGCAGAAAAGCATTCCAAGCACACAAGGCAAGTCACCCTCCCACTAAAGTACAGTGGGCTAATTAATGCATGCATTGACACCTGGGACTTACTAATCTATAGAAATGTGTTTTGCGCAGAAATGGAAGCTGTGTTTCATTTTCTGTAAGCATTCTCAATATGCTGCCAACCTTTACACAAGTGTTCGGAAAGCAGGAGATCATCTTCAAGAAGACAGGCAGAGTGAAAACAAATAAAGCTTTGTCATATCTAGCTATTTTTTGACAAACACACATTGTACATCTACTCACCCTTGTGGCTCAGCTGTTGTGAGTTAATTGACTAAGAGGTTTTTTTCCATGGGGCTTCAGTTTTTGATCTTATACTTCGGAAAATATTTATAGTTTGCTGCTTTTGACTTATCTGTTAATATCTTCACCATGCCTTATAGGTGTGAACTTTATGTAATTAATTACCACAAAAACTTCCAAGATTTTCCCAGTTTTCAAAACTTCAATAGGAGTGTTTCTTTAATCATGAAGTGGGGGGTGGAGGGACCAAAGAAGAATGTCATCGTTTGTTAGGACAGAGGAACCCAACCCAGACATAAAGGTGTCAATGAGGCGGGGGCTTCTAATCCATCTGACATGAATGTATTTTAGACCCCCATTGTTTTCAGAAGTGTAAAAAAATACCTTTTTACTAAATTGAGTAAATGTGTCCATCTGGAATCACATTTGCTTGTGTGCACACCCTTCAATTCTCATTTGTACATGCATATGTGCAAAAATGTTGTTAAGTGATATTTTTAGGAAATTAGCATTCTGATTATAGCATACAAGGTCCTTTATCTAACAGGGTATCCTAAACATTCATTATATGACTAAAATGTTCAGAACACTCAAAGAAATAAATTTAAATGTAAATCTAGCACACAATAAATTATAGCTTTGTAAGAAAAATAAAGCCATCATCATGGATGAGGGAAAATTGCCCCCATATCTAAATGGTACCTTTTCCACCAGAGGGCATCCAGCTCACTGGTTACATCCTAGTAAAAATTCAATGAAAATTACTAGAATTGTTTGTTGTAGGGAGACTAAGGGTATAAGTAAATAGTGGATAGATTTATTACTCTGCAAACTTACTTTTGATGACTTTATTTTAGCAAATTAACAGTTATGGAAACTTATTTTTGGTTATTTATATCTTTACATGTCTTAGTGGAACGGGGGTAAAGGAAAAGACAGAATGAAGAAAAATTATTCCCCCCATTCTCTGGAATCCAATACTATGAATTACCTACCCCTCTCCTCCCCTTTCTCCTTCTCTTCCACTTCCTTCCCATCCCCACCCCACTAAGGGAAGCAGCTTTATTCTCTCATATCTACTGGTAAGCATGAACAAGCAAAGGATGATGAGGCAGAGGAAAAAGAGTCAAGAATCCTAAGGACACCGCCCTGTGTGTCAAGAGACAGTTGTTGGAAAGTGGGACAGAGAAGAGGCGCACATTTTGTTAGTGGCATCTGCAGATCCAAATGAACAACAACTCAGTAATGGGAACACTGTACTAGTCACTTACTTTTTTTTTTTTTTTTTTTT